GCGCGCACATGCGTGAGTGTCAGCCTCTGAGGATTGCAGCGGTCGAGAGAAGAGCAGCGCCGAGCAGAGCAGAATCCATGTGATAACAGAGATCAAAGCTCGAGGAGACCTCATCAACTTACCTAGCAAGCTCCCTGTTGATCCACCTGATACCTGGAGCAGGCCACACCTACGTACTCTCCCTGTCTCTCTCTCTCTTGCTGACTCGTCCTGGACTCTTTATTTGCATGCATTTTGTATATCTCCCAATTCATGTGCTTAAACAGTCCCGCACTTAAGCAGAATATGTTTATTTAGCCAGTGCAGTGATGGTTTGCTTATGTCTGCATGTGTGCTTTTTTGCGTGCGCGTTAACACCACAATCTCTAAGTCTTCAGATAAGCTGAATTATTTATTGAAACGTTTCCGGCGCAGCATTTTTCCTCCTTTTGTTGTTCGAGGCCATAAATCTGCTGACGCCTGACCAGGAAATGTACAGGAATGCAGCTTGATCACTTTACTTAACAAAAAAAGAGGTTTTCACAGCTGTCATCAGTCTTCTGATAGGCTCTCAGGATATCACAAGTTTAAATACATTTGTGCCAATGCTGGGTTTCTGCTTGTTTGGGACATTATGAGTTAAACTCTTATTTTATCTAAGCTGAAATTTTCTTTTAAGAGTGAATCTTGTAAAATTTATTCTAAACGGCACTACTTGACCTGTGTTTTTTTTTTTTTTTTAAATTTTGTACTTGATTTAGCCATCACTCCCTTCAGCCACACCATAGAAGTCTTCACAAAATGTCATTTCCTGTTTACTTTCACCAGTGGTTTCAACTCCTAACCCTAACTATCAAGAAACACTCAAATACAACAAATAAAAGCTTACTAAGCTTTAAAATTGTATACTATTACATTATTATTTAGTTTTACAGTGTTGCTTGCATTCTGAAGGTCTTTCAATATTTGTTTGGACATTTGCTGCTTTTTCTCTCAATTTCAGTTCAGTTCTTGTAACATACCATTTCCAGAGGAATCGGTGAGGTTCCTAATTCAAAGGATAAACCAGACTTGTGTCTCACATAACAGACAACTTATTAAAGAACCATATTTAAATTGCATTTTCAGCCACTTTGTTACTAATACCCTGCTGTAAAATCTTTCAATTTAAACCGTTTCTTTTAGCTCAATCTATGAAAAATACACAATTTGACAGGCGTAAAGTAATATTTTTGCACCAACAAAGTAATTCCCAAATTGTTGTTAGCCCAAAATTTAACATACTTTGCCATGGTGTGCAGCGAAACTGAACTGGTAGAACATACAAGAATTGGCAGTTTTCAGGTGGAGACTGTATCGTGGTTTGGGGCTGCATTTCAGGCAATGGTGTAGGGGATCTTATCAAAAGATTACTAAATCAGATCAGATTTTGAACCGCCCTGCAATACCAACTGGAAAGCATCCAACTGGCAATGGCTTTGGTCCAAAGCTTAAACACACTGCCAATGCAGTAAAAGCATACCTGAATTAAAAAAACAAACAAAAAACCACACAATGGAAACTTATCAGTCCACAGAACGTGGATTCAACATTATTAAAGCCGTGTGGGATCATTTTGACAGAGAACAAACTAAAGGCATCAAACATCCAAAGAAGAGCTTCAGATGTCGTTCAAGAAGCCTGGAGAACTAATAAAGATAATATTGGAATTGTATTAAGTCTAGTGTTGCCTTATAGACTATATTTGCATGTATGTTTGCATGTTTTAGTTGCTAACTATTGCATTTATTTTCCAATTTCCTGGGAAAGTATAAAGAAATTAAGGGTGACTCAGTACATTTAAACAAGACTCTTTTGGCTGTACTGTAGTTTTCATAATTCATTGGCTGTATTTCAGTAATGTTGTAAGAGATGTTGCACATGAAACAGATAAACTATTTTACTGTGGTTCATAAAATGTGGCTCTTAGATCGTGACGGATCATGTCTCCATTTCAGGAATAATTTATTATAATAAAGTAAACACTGTTGTAATGCCTTTGTAGATTTACAAAGCTTTCTTTGTTAGGAAATGTTTATGGATGATTTCTCCTGTTTTCTGATTTTACAGATATGTAATAAACTCAAAATGATGACTTCTACACACAGATGCAAGCGACAAGCTAACTTCAGCCCCTGCGAACACTTTGTCAAAATGTAGATTATAGTTATTACTGGTGAACATTATTATTCTGACATGTCACAGACTCTTTCTTCATCACAGTAAAGACTTGTACTTAAAGTCTTTTAAAGACATGTCAGTCTTATAAGACGTGAGATTTTAGATTTCAACATACATGAAAGGAGTTTTGTGGTTTTTGATGGAAAAGTCAGAAAACGTGTCTCTGGCCTTTAAAGGCGAGTGTCTTTGGTGCTCTGTGATCTTTATGGACTAGTGTTTTTGTTTTTTTTCCTCCTCAAATTATTCTTGTTTAGAGTATTCTCAAAAACTGTTGTGTTTTAGTGTCTAGAGCAACACGTTTGGTTTAGATCCATAGGCAGTTGCATTCTCGTGCAAGCGGCATGATTTGACATTCGTACCATGATAAGCGAGGGCAAAAAACTGGATCCACCTCAGAAAGGTTGCAATCTCAACTTTTACAGAAAAAGTAGCCGGTGTGAGCATTCAGACATGAAGCTGATATGTTAAGATGCTGTCAGATTACCTGAAAGGACTGCCTCTATGAAAGGGGCTCACAGATTCTATAAAATATGTTGTTAGCTGACAAAAATGTAAAGTTGCTTAAAATGTCTTCCTGCGATAAAGTGACACGTACCAAATTAATGTGATGTCTCTGTAAGGTGATTTTACATCTTATATTGAACTGAATCCAGTGGCTGTTTGAATTGGGGGGGGGTGACTGTGTGATTTAGACAGAGATCTTCAGAATGTGAAGAGAATGTGAGGTGTAGACCAAGAGGGAGACAGGTTCTCTTTGCTTATGATTCTCTCTCTGAATAATGTAGTATCCATGTTGGGGTATATGGGTCAGTGGGGTTTTACTTCCCCCTGGAGACCAAAGGCACACCCCAGCACACACACGGATGCACACTTGCTTAATTCACTCCCCGAGTCCTGGCTTGTCTGCCTGTCTGCCTGGCTGGTTAACTCGCTGCGTGACGTCATACATTTTTCATAAAGTCTGCATTGCTTGGTCAATATTTCATATTTGCTATTGACAGTCGGGTGAGAGTCCATAGTAAGGAGCCGCTGCTCCCTCTTTTCCCTTCGCCTTCTCTCCCTCCTACTTCCATCCCTCTCTGGCCTGTAATTAAATTAGCTCTGTCTGCAGATGACAAAGGGCCAGTCATTCGGGTGGTGCTTAGATAGCAAGTAGCTGCACTCTGTAGAGCGGATATGAAGTTAAGGAGGAATGCGCTGAGCTGAGCTCAGTACCTCTGTTAGGAGAAAAAAGGTGGGGAAGAAGAGGATGCCTGGATCCAGGCCTGCCTCACGCAATGAACTTAGACCAGATACAGAGTGAAGATTTTTTATTTCAGCTGTTTGGCAAACTGACCTTTAGGGCACCTAGTAGCCTCGCAAGAGTGATGACTGTGTTATGTTAGGTTATGATTAATAATTATTTTTAGTTGTGATGAGTACTTGTCCCATCTGTGGCATGGTCAAAATAATGTTGAAAATTGTTTAAAAATGCCTGCTGCAGCATTACACTGTCTAAGTTAGCATATTTGTATGTTTGTTTGTTTTTTCATCTGAAGCTGCATACACACTTTGCTATTCGGGGCTGACCCAGATGAAATATGACCAGGGTGGAAGAATGGAGGCTATATCTTTGTGCGCGTCTCCAAAACTGTGGGCCTGTGTCGCACAGTGAGAGCACAAATGTGTTACTACTCGTCAATCATTAGGATTGCAGCATGAAAACATGCTCTTATCAAGCTCCCTCAAACATCTAGATAATTACACAAGCCCAAATGGAACAGACAGAGGTAAAACTTTTTAAACTGCAAATAAAAAATGATCGTTGCTTCTAGACTCTGCATTTTGAAGCCTCAGGATTAGTGTTCAGCCTGCTGCCATATTGGTGTCTTGGAGCCAGAAATTAGCAACTAACTAGCGAGTATAGTTAGCAAACAGGAATATGGCATACACACGAATCGCATTATAATCAAATACCAAAATCAAAGTATAAACTACTAAAATTGTTTTTACCACATAGCAGACTATGTTATTTGTCAGATAGTTCCATTAAAATGCTGATACTTGATACTAACAGCACAAACATGAAGAGGTCCAGATTAGATGCAGCTAAATGCTGTAGCTGTCTATGCTAGCACACTTGAAGCCTCAACAGTATCTGGCCTATAGTTTAGTAGGTATTTTGAAAGTACTTAATATTAGTTTTCATTTTGACAATTTTTATTTAAATTTAGTCGCAGTCTTTTGAATGAAATGTCATTTGATTTTCGTCATAATCTAAGTTCTTTTAGTTTTATGGAGTAAAAAAAAATGTATTTAGCTGTGATAGTTGCTCCACACAGTTTACAAAGCGTCATTTGTTGACAGCAAATGTATAATATGTCCATGTGTCTGCTCTTCTCTTCCTCACGAGTGCTGACATTTAGTGTTTTCATGAGAAACGTGGAGCATGGGAGCTAGTTTCCCAGGGGCAGATCAAATGTCCGTGTCTAACTGTACCGCTTAAGATTACTTCAGAATATTTTCATCTCGTTTTTATTCGTTGACAAAAGTGTGAATACATTTCATCGTAGTTTTTGTCCTCATGCATTAGTTTTTATTTAGTTATTGTCTTGTAGTTGTCAGAAAAAGAGGACGTTGACGCAAACTGTCAAAATTTATTGGTCAGCAACACTGCTTATAATATCCTCATAAAGACATTAGCACGTCCCATCCATGTTGTTTGAGTTTTTTTCTTTTGTGGTCCTCTTCTCTCAGCTGCTCAGTGTGTTTGTTTGTTTTCTCTGCTGACAGCCTTGTTGTCTGCTCTCGTTTACTTGCAGTGCTCCCCACCTGCTCACCGCTGGACTTCCACTGTGACAATGGCAAATGTATCCGTCGCTCTTGGGTGTGTGATGGAGACAACGACTGCGAGGATGACTCCGACGAACAAGACTGCCGTAAGTACACTCTGTCTTTCTTGAAAACACAAACAGTAGCAAAGACATACACTCGACCTGCTCCGTTTTACTCAAGGGGATGACTTATTAAAGTGAACAGATGTTTGAGGCAGCCATGTGCAATGAGGTGTTTGTTTAGAGTCTAAAAGCGTTGCCTGTCTGCTGCACTCACAAACACACGGGCAATCGCACGTGCACACGAAAACATTGTGGCAAAAGGTCAGCTCTCCCACGGTCACAGCACAAGACTTTGTTTGACCTTTGACTTTATTTTGCTCCTCTTTTGTTTTGAGGAGTTATCTGTGTTCTAAGTCGTGTGTTCTTGCTGAAGTATCCTCAGCTTCCTACCAGGCAGAATCGTGACAACACTTTAACTAAAAGGAAAAACCTGAAGCTTTGACCGCTACAGTGAGGGTATCTGTGGTCTCTGTGTTGCTATGTGAGACATTTTGCTTGATTTTGAGGACATTCTTGAGAGAGGAGGGTAATTTCTCTGTTCTCACTTCCGTCTTTTTTTTTTTTAATGGGTTAATGCAGCCTTCAGAAAATTGTCAGATAAACATGATAAGGAAACCATCCTATTTTACTAACTCAACAATGTGCTTGCCCTTTTAACGAAGGTCAGTTTTAGATTCATTTGAGGTTAAGAATAGGAGTTGTGCTCTTTAAAAGAGGTCATCAGAAGTAGAGGAGTACAACTGCTTGTCTGTGTGGGTTTTTTTTCTTCTTTATTTGAGGTGTGGCCAGTGGTCAGATTCTGAATCCACATTTAGTCTCTATATTTACCCATGACAACTCAGAAGGCTCTGTGTGTGCAACCTGATCGGGGTGGATGCATGCTGCAGGCTGGACATTCTATCACAACATCAGAAGCAAGTTCGGCGATTCAGTTCGATCAACTTTAACACTCTGTGCGGAGGACTGGAATAGTTACAAGCAGTGACATGTCCTTGATGGAGTCGACACATGGCAGTTAGGCAGTGTCCTTCAAGTAACTCACTTCTAGATCTGTGAAGGATCTTCAACCAACAACATGTTGCTTAAATTATACAATTCATATCAATTATTGGCGATTGTATTTTTTACTTTGGCCCCAATAAAAGTGGTATAAGGGTGACAATACCGAGAACTTGACATAGACCTCTTATGCTTCTTTGCAACCATAAACCTTCTTTCTTGGACTCAGCTACAGTAACTTTGATTGATTCACAGTTCATAATAATCCTGGTTGTTGTATATTTTGTTATTATGCCGCCTCTAAACCAGTTCTGAAAGAGCCATTTAAAGAACTCTTCTTTTAAAATTGATCACCTAGGGGTGATCAATTTCAGCTTTTCTTCTGATTGGCTGCCCCTCAAAAACAGAACGTTAGGTGGGTGGGGCCCGGACAGATACTTCCTGCCAGAGCTGCAAGTATTTGAACTCACATTTATGCTGGGCTCATTATTTGAAACTTTATGATCATTCACCATTGTGGTAGAACTAGAAAAGTAGAAAAAACAAAATAAGGGCAAAAGTAACTCCACTTGATAATTCTGTACATCAGATCGGGAACAACTTGTCTTTCAGCATATTTTGGCTAATGTGGAATTAAGAGTAGATCACAAAATCTGTATTGTGATTCTGGCTCTGCAGAGGAGTGGTAGCTGGGTTGGGTAGGCTTTTGATGGAAGGTAGCTATTAATCAAAAGAAGGAACGTTTTTGCTTTTGGCTGGCTTAGTAAGCTTCTGACTCAGCAGGTTGGTAACTATAGACCAGAGTGACAGTCCTATTGGTAGCTCCTGGTCTTGGTAGCAGTAGCTTGAAACTGTGCGTCTTTAGTTTATACACATCAAAGGTTTTAACAGTATTGTAGTTCCATATATATTGGATATCAAAGATGACCATGACCTCATATCTTGATTGGGAACTGCTATTATAAATTCTGTATGGTAGAAATCTGGCCTTCCCATTTTGTTTTTATTTTAATGCAAGCGAGGCCTGTTTTTGTAAGAAAAAGTGATATATGACTAATGCTAGTGTTGGCTGGATAGCTTGATAACATGACGCATAGGGTCACGGTGATAGTAAATGAGGTTCTTATTTTGGCAAGCAAAAGTGTATGAATATTTTTGCTCAGTTTGGTGTGTTTTCTTTTCATGTTGATTAAAAAATAAACTGGAACCACCTTCTTATGCTTTTGAAGCCAATAAAATGAATATGTAACTCCCCACCAAACCACTAGCATTAAATCTGTAGAGCTAATCTGTTGATTGTAGCACTGAGTCTTGTGAACCATTTGGTCACTCTAGCCAATTAAATGTTGGACATGTGCATAGGATTACAGGGACCATCTTGCTGTATTTAAATACAATAGAATCTGTTTAATGGCCTATGCACAGACGCCACTTTCACTGTTTTCTCAAAATTCAAGTAGTTTATAGGTGCAGCAGGTAGAGGATAGCTTGCGAATGATTTTTCTGTCACCTGGTGATTTCTCCTCCTCCTGTGCTGGCCCACATATGGCATGAGCAGCCAGACACTGAATCACTTACTGATGGGGGTGGGGGGTGTCTGTCTGCAATGAGGGTGCTATGAATTTTTCATCTTCATGCCCAGTAAATTTTCCTCCCTCCTCTGTTTCCCATACTTATTATTTCATGCTTCTTTCTTTCTCCATTTCTTTCCCCCTACCTGGTTTGGCTCTCCGTTCCCAATATGTGCTGGCCAGTATAGGTTTCTCCCTAAGATGAGGTGGTTTCATTGCATTATTTAGGCCTGGGGAGACAATCCTCCACGCTTGGCTGGAACCGAAGTAGCTGTCAAGATTTCAGACAAACATGGAGAGTGAGGTGTGCCTCGGTGCAGAGCAGTGCGTGCGTGTGTGTGTGTGCGTGCGTGCGTGCGTGTGTGTGTGTGTGTGTGTGTGTGTGTGTGTGTATGTGTGTGTGTGTTAAAAAAGGGGTTTGAAATCTTGACGTTCAAAAGATATTTTAATCTGGCAAATAAATATTTCGACACCTGTCTCAGCTCATACACACATGTAGAGAGCGTGGTATCGACTCCCAGTGCTCTTTGCCCTTTGACTTTTGGCTGCTGTGTGAATGATGAGTTTCTTGAGGGCTTGTTGACCTCTGACCTTACTCTGTTTACTTCGCTTATGGGAAGGGAGCTAGAGCATGGGAGAGGCAGAGAATAGGGGGCAAATCAATTATTTTCTTGCAACCTGAATAATGGAACGAGTTTGATTGTCAATTGTCCAGGTAAAATTAAATTTTCATTGGAACCCACCAAAATACTTTTTTTTTTTTAAGGGGGCGGGGCGAACTGGCTGAGAGGAGACTGGTGGGGGCGAGGTCAGCGCAAATTTAGCAGTTGAATGAATAGCATGCTCATGAATGTTTAGTCTTAGATATTTATTTTAATACACTTGGCTCTGTATGATGTCACTGAGAGTAGATGGTCATTTAAGGCACACAGCCCTAAGCTTTGAGTATAAAAGCTCCACCCACCTGTTATGCGAATCTTCTGTTTGCGAAGGGCAGCCAATCAGAAGAGGATTGGCTTAAAGGGAGGGAAAATGGAGCTAAAACAACTAATTTTAGAAAGTGGATGATTTTGTAGTGTAAAGCAAGTTCCAATGATGAGTGTAATAATTCCCAAATGTAGAGGATCCCTGTCAGAACTTTCTAAATATGTCATGTTTTTATATGGAAAACATTCTAGAAAGATGCTTCCCTTTTGGATCTTTGTTAAACATTAATTTGGACCCAGATCATATATACGTGCAATGGCTCTGGGTTCTTATGTCATGTCACTCATCTGAGAAGTGAAGTGTGGTTCTCAGGTGTATTTGTGTGGTGCTGTAATACTCTTGAGAAAAGATGAAAGCTTTCAGTGGAAAAAAGACGAGCGTTACCCTTTTCCTTTTTGTCGGGTCGTCTCTTCTGTGGGCGTCCTTCTGTTTTTGTCTCTTCTTATCTCTCTTGCTTTGTCGTAACTGTCTAACACTCACACACAGCAGTGATAAATTATAGATTGCCTACTGCCAGGGCCCAGACATCACTGGTTTTCTTTGGCAAACCTGTTTGCTCGGCTCCAGCCGTGCTTTGCCATCGACTGCAGCAGTAACGGTAGAAGGCGGCGCTTTGGAAGTGTGATGAAAGAAGCAAGGCGAACCAGTTGTTTCGATAAATGAAAGGGTATGAAAGTAAAACACTGTCACAGGGCTGAACTCTCACAAGAGGGAGTGACTTTGTCTCTCTGTTGTGTCAACTGTTTGTACGAATGACTAATGTTCCTTTTATCTCCAGTCTAAAGGTTAACTGCATAATGAAACACTTCCTAATGTACAGCCAGCACTATGTGTAATTAAGATATAAAGCACGCTGCTAGAGCTTGGTGAAAGAAATCAATCCAAAATTTGAGCTGGACTAGAAGAATATGCATTAAAGCAACTTTACAGCAGTGTGCCCACAACCATAATGCCTCAGAATCTGCCTCTAAGTCAGATAAAAGTGGGTTAAATCAGTAAAGTGTTCAGTTCTAACACACAGACAAACATACTTTAAATTATATTAGTAACAGACTATAAAATACCAAAACTTGACTGAAACACAAACTTCTTGGATGCTCTGTAATACAGAACAAGCCAGATTATCAAAACTATTTTTTAGTACCAGGCTGTAAACATGTTGTAGTTCTGTAAAGTTGGACGGGAGTGTTTGGGGGCCGTCTCGTTTTTGGAGCCCGTCCCAAGTAGTTGGTTGAGAAATGGCAGCTTTTGGCACATTCACGCTGGCTACTTTTTCTGGTTCCTGCTTGACATAACACATCCAGTCCTGGATTTTTAGACAAAAAAAAAGTTCTTCAGTTGCAGCTTCACAGCCTCTCTGAATGTTTCCTAACAAATAAGAAAGTAGCCTTTTTGTTAACTTGGTATTTTTAGGTTGAAATGCAACGATCATTTTAAGGCTTTTATGCGGTTTGAGTAATAAATCAAACATTTGACTTTTTTCTTCCATGAAAGCTCGTCTCTATTAACATCCACTTTAACCATCATGTATTCAGCTAGAGCCAATTTTGTTTTTTTTATTTTTAAGGTTTTATTTTGTGCCTTTTGTGAGGTGTTGAAAATGTGCTTTGTAAAAGGAAATTTATTATAGCTGTAACACAGACCACTTTACACAACCTTATCGCTTACTGTGTTGCAATGCGTGTAAATTAGAGATTTTCATATTGAGCAACAAGACATTCAGCCTGAAAGCTTCGCAGTCACAGACCTGCAGTGGTTCTGAAAGATCCGCCTGTTTATGGAGGGCATTTTTTTTTCTTCACAGCTTTTTGCTCTTAGTTTGACTCAAAGAATTAGAGTTGCCCAGATTTCAGGGTAGCTTTAGTGTCTTTTCATTGTGTCTGTGTTATATGGTGTTCTGAAGTCTGTCACTTTTTTCTGCCTGCATAGCTCCCAGGGAGTGTGAGGAGGACGAGTTTCACTGTCAAAACGGCTACTGTATTCGCAGCCTCTGGCACTGTGATGGCGACAACGACTGTGGGGACAACAGTGATGAACAGTGTGGTGGGTACACACACAAAGAGGCTCACCTAAGCCCGAGCATGCAAGGCCTTTATTCATTCCGACAGTATTTGTAATAGTATATGAGCCTGTGTGTTCTTTCCGTGGCAGACATGCGTAAATGCTCAGACAAGGAGTTCCGCTGCACGGACGGGAGTTGCATTGCTGAGCACTGGTACTGTGATGGAGACACGGACTGTAAAGATGGATCAGATGAGGAAAATTGCCGTAAGTTACTGAGAGAGTATGCACAAGCTTTGTTTTGTAGACACATTGACAGGCCAGCTTATATTTGTAGGGCATCATCCACGATAACTCAAGTCAGATCAGAGTGATGGTACACTGCAGCATGTAAAGTCAAAATTGTGGCCTCAGAAAGGGGCAAATATGCTTACCAGTAAAGCTGTATGTAAACCAAGATCTCACAGTAACAAGTTTACCCCAGACCATGTAAATGTGTTCACTGTCTCAATGTAGAGCTGAGCTTCTGCTTCATTTCATGTATAGTTTCTGACAGACTCAGCAAAGTAGCATCAAAACTTCAAAGTGCCTCCGACAGCCAACTGCTGCACCATCTTTTCCAGCATCTGTTTAACATGTCTGCGTGTCTGTGCAGCTTCAGATGTGATGACAGCCACCTGCAGCGTGGAGGAGTTCCAGTGCGCATATGGCCGCTGTATCCTGGACATCTACCACTGTGACGGAGATGATGACTGCGGAGACTGGTCGGATGAATCGGACTGCTGTGAGTTCCCCGTCGCATAGCTAGAAACACACCTGCAGCATTGTAGACGTCAGGGTCTAGTCTCAAACCTCCAGGGGGAAAAAAAGTGTACTTCTTAGACACCAATCCAAGTTTTGGGCAGAAGTAAAGATTTGACAGGAAACACACTCAGTGTTTAGCTAGGTGATCCAGACCAATCGTGCCTCTCCGGCTGGTGTAAAGAATTGCTGTCATCTGATTACACACACAGGCACAGATAAACATTTCTTAGGATCCCTGCCAGTGATCGTGGCTCTCACTAGACTGTGTTGTGCATGGTGGATGAAGGCAAAGCTCTTTCCGTTTTCTCTTGCCTCTCCTTCCTTTTATTCTCTGCCTTTCCTCTGAGTGCAACTCAGATTCATGTGTTACAGCTTCCTGCACTAGTTCAGCTGGAGTTTAAAAGTACATTAAAGGCTCATCTGAACAGGAAGTTTAACATCCATCATTTTTAGTGGTTACACCGACCGAGTCTGTTCCAAACTGGGCTCAGATACTGAATGCTGACAGTTAAAGCATGGTGCAGATAGGGCTGTGCGATATGACCAAAATCTCATATCCCGATATAAGACATCTATCGTCCCGTGTTTTAACCGATGCATGAAACTATACATTTTGGACATAATTTTAGACATAAGTTGTGAGTATTTATTACACGGCGTGCTGCGGGGAAAAGCCTGTTCTAACGTTTGAGTCTAAGATTTATTTTTTAGCATCTGGCGCCTCTTTTTTAATTCTCATCTGTAAATAATCTGCTCTTTCACATGATTCAGTTTATTTTGAAAAATCTCAACAGGATCTTGAGCTTTATTGTGAAAGGTTTATGTAGAAGGTTCAAGGTTCTTTATTTGTCACATGCATAGTTATACAAGTATAACACACAGTGAAAGGTAACCTGACACGCTCCTCGACA